ACACATGCGTTTAGTGGTGTCAAATAATACTTTACAGGTGGGGTGGGGGGGGGGGCACATCCAGCGTACGTACGTATGTACCGGGTGACCCAATAGGACTGTTCCTCGGCCATACCTCGGGAACCGTTCGTCGTATGCCTTAGGGGCAACAAAAAAATTATTGGGTAAATCGTCATGAAAAATCGCTGGAAAATATTTTCAAGTTCTAAAAATGATCACCAGAAGGTGTAACTGCCATCTTAAATTTTAAAATTACATTTTATTTAAATTTCGCATAATAAACTAAACATTTTAAAGAGAACCAGTTTACCTATCATTTTCGTAAAAAAACTCAGTTATTTCAAAAACAAAGATAGTGTGGAGCGTTCAATTGTTTTTGGAATAACCTGCTTTAACTTCTTAACGGTTGGGCCGATTTTAACAAATTTGGTATCGTTGAAAAGAGCATTCCTTGGACAATCAACTATAGTTAATTTAGTTGAATCCTTCTCCACCAGGAGGCTAGTTTTGACACCATGACCCAAAATCCTAAAAAAATCAAATAGAATGATATGACTTTTTCTTTATGAAACTGTAGCCAAATAACATCCAAAGAGGCCAGTGAAAACGTTTTTCAAAATATTGTTCCTAACCTCAAATATTGGAAAAAAATAGCTTGAATTGTACTTTAAATTTACTTTTGACGTACATATTTCCGATGTTTGTCGATGGCGCGAAAGTTTGTTTGGAAAAGCACCCTACACTTTTCGGTAGGCCTTGGAAAATTAAACAAATGAAATACGATGCATTATGAAATAATAACAGCCCTAATTTGTAAATTATTCTGCTGTGTTTAGAAAGTGCAGTGTTTTGAATTTGTAATCTTTTCTAAAATGCCGATTTCTAACCAAGAAGCATTTAATATACGCTGGCGATATATTTTGAGTGTTTTCAAAATGTGACCAACGCTGCCCGCATCTTCTATTTGCGCTATGAGAATCTTAAAGCCACAGACCATATCATAAAAAGAATTCAGTAAACTAACTAAGTATAATATACCCCCGATTATATCTATAATATTAAAGTAACTTAATAAGTTCAGGATGCGTTTAGTCCCTTTGGAGCAGCATGAATGTTCTGATGATATCTATTTTTTTAATGATTTATATTTTTTAGACTCACAATTGCCTCTTTTAACATCTTATTCATTCTGTAGCTAAATTTTTAGTAGTTTCAGGAAATGTACCACGCGATCCTTGGCCATCAAAGATCCACTAATCTCATTTTCCCAATATTTGAGGTTAGGAACGAGATTTTGAAAAACGGTTTTCACAAGACATTCTCATAAAGAAAAAGTCATATCATTCCGTTTCATTTTTTTGATTTTTTTAGGATTTTGGGTCATGGTGTCAAAACTAGCTCCCTGGCGATGAAGGATTCAACTAAATTAACTATGAGACTTATTTAATTCAGAAAGACTACGTTTGCGACGACACGACAACCTCATTTTCAGGGAGATCGTAGAGAAATGAAATTTGGAATACAATTAGCAAGGGTGTTTAAATTACATGTAAAGTAATAATGTAAAATATATCTCATACTATTCAAAGAAAATCAATTTCTGAAATACTATTGCCAATTTCACCATTGTTACCTTCTTAGAAACAGACTCAACTTTCAAATTTCTGAGAAAGGTTTTTTTAAACCTATATCCTCTGCGCGAGTATGCGCAGTTTTCCAGCGAATTTAATTGGAATTTTCTTCCCAGAACTGATATGAGGAATCTTTTCAGAAACATTATTTTCGGTCACACAACACTGATAAATATTCTTAAAGGTCCTTGTTAGATTTTCTTGAAAACCTTTTTAGAAAATATTGTAACGAAGTAAATCTTTCTATGAATTTTACAAGAAATTAGAAGTGCTCTCTCTTAGCATCCTTTTACGCGACTTTTATAAAAGTCGCTTTAGTAATCTTGAAAATCTTTACAAATCTTTTATGAATTACAATGATCTTCCTAGAAATATTAAGTCTATTAAGTCTCCCTACAAATCTTCTTGGAAAACATTTTTGCACATTAAAACGTTCTTCCTGTCTCAAAATTTTACAAATTTCTTTATTTGAAACTTGAGAAGTCCTACTAGAAAATTTAATAGAAACCTTAAAAATTGAACTTTTCGTATAAACCCTCATCCTAGAAACACTTTTTACGTTTCCGGGGAAATTACTGTTACATTTTCGGAGAAAAATTCATTATACGTACACAATGTATACGTACCTTGTACTTCTTTATGAAAAGGATTTCAATAAATTAACCGAACCAAAGTATTATCTCAGTGTTTTTGTGTTTCGAGCTTTTAGAATTTATTCATTAATTACAGGAATTAAAATTAGTTACCACTATGGTCGGAAAATTGTTTTGTTCTCTGCAAACGTAAATCAAATTTAAACTTTCTGAATGCAAATTTTATTATTGTACACAGTCCGTTTATGAACAAAGACCATTGATGAAGTCGTTATTTTTCAATTGCGTAATTAGATAACCTCTTGGAATTTTTACATTTTGTGTAAGTACTAAAATTGCGTCATCGTATACACTAATTTTATTCAATACTGCAGATCACAGTAACACTATATGTCTCTGAGAACAGCTTCTATAGAGGTTTTCAAAGTTTCAAATATTTATAAAGACACCTAGCATGGATGCTATCAAGGGAACATGAGAGACACATTTAACGTTTATGTGGAACTTGCGAAACTTCCAGACTTAGAGAAGAACTATAGGAGGACTTGTGAAGAACTTGGAAAGAATGTCATGGGAGCGTAATAAAAACGTGTTCAAGGAGACATAGAAGACGAAAATGAGAATTAATGTGAAAGTAATTTCAAAAAAGCTTCAGAAAAACTAATGAGTGCTCAATAACATCGATTCTATCTAAGTTTGGAGAGAAACATCACGTCTTTTGATCGCTTGCCCAATTCTCGCCTCATGCATGATTACAATGCAAAAGTGCTGCCAACAAAAATGATACCGCTGTACTCTGTAGGTATATAGATCGTTAGATATAAGTACAATATAATGCACAAATAAATACTACAGTCAACATCGCCGCGATAGAAACGAAAATATTAGTAAGCACGTGCTAATCGTAAGCACTTAATTATTTATATTGAAAGTTTGCCAAGTTTGTAGGAATACTTGGAGCGAAATTTATATCATTTTTTTCTTCTACGTCATCCGAATCAGCAATAAAACTAGTCAAATCTCGGTAATGATCTCTAGAATGTCTTTCAAATATCTAGGCAAACACAACCATTTCATTTCTATACATTTTTATGACGATACTGTCTTGGTAAACACCCTTAAATTGAAAAAAAAATGTCCACAAATACGTATTATTAACACATAAAAATGTGGCGATGACATCTCAGTATTTGGTTGCGGTTGTTAGAGAAGAACTCTGACATTTTATTATAACGATTTGCATAATTAGTGTCTCAAAGAGACCGGATTTGCAGTTTCCCATTTATTGATTTAGTTCTTATAAACAGGGTCTCTGAACGGCAAAATTGATATATTCGCGTCCCTAATCAACCATTAAAATTCGAAATCACTCAACACGTAAAAATCTCATCTCTCGAATATACATTGCCGGTATTTTGTCAGGAAAGTGAAAAGCTCAAGTGATCGATCAGACACACCAAGTCTAAAATCTGTGAAACTGCTTATACTATCTGACGCGACCAAACAATTGTAATTATTAATGGGTCAACGAAATATATTACTATTACTATTACTATACTATTCCTTAATTTTAAATTTCCTGTCGCATGGAAGTTGTCTACTATTCTTCAGAATACATTGTTAATTATAATTGTCAGTTCAACAAGGACTATAATATTCCTACTCCAATTTTTTTCGAGATATTCTTACATTTTTCCCAGTGTAAGGGGCAAAAAACGACGCTATTTTCACACTACAACACATTACACACATTAGAAATCTACCTCGTCCTTGCTGTTATAAAAGAGTTTAATTAATATTAAGGGATTAAACTTTAATACATTTGTAGAACATACTAGGTCAAAGTGGACATGTAGGTACACGAAATTATCTTTAACCGTCCTTTATTTTCAACAAGTAGTCCCGGAGAACTTCGTACCGCCTTTGGGATATCCAGTTTTTTTTCCGTTCCCGTGGGAACTGTGGGAAGTTCTTTCGGAGTACACTTTAACGTCTTCAAAGAAGCCTAAGTTGTAAATGTCAAGTCTCTTTTCGACTGTAAAATATAAATTCGTGTTTTTTCTGCGCGGAAAGTGTTTTCAAAATTTCAAAAATTCAGTGTGGATATTTCACTGCGAATGAAACAAAAAGGGGACTGATAGTGTAGTTCGCATTCGTATTAGTAAAGTTGTTCTAACCATCTGAATCCAAAAAACTGCCCTTAATAAATAATATGTAAAATTTGCATTTCCTTGAAATTTCTCCTTTTGGTTTTAATAATTTATAAAACCCGTTAATAACAAACTGTAATATTAATAAGTATCTTGCTTGTTTACATAGACACAGAAGTTCATTGTTTGAAAAAACTACATCTATTGATTGATTCGTCGGAGAATTTAATGTAATCATTTTCCGACGGGAAGTTCCAATCTACAATTTCATTTCTTGATTTTCCCGAAATTTTGTCGATGTAAAGAGGGTCGACCGAGCTTATTTCATACAGAAAGACATTCTTTTTACAAGGTACAATGATATTCATTTATTTATGTAAAAGTTAAGCGTTGTATGAAGTTTAACATTTACTAAGGAAAATTGAATCTGTCTTTTCTTAAAGATATCAACCTCTGGTCAGTTTCAAAGCCATTTGTGTTGTAGGTATTTTTACCATTTATGACCTCGTTAGAATTGGATTTGATGGTAAAAATCAGTTGATATCATTGATATTTCTTGAATTAATATATTTGAGTTGATAGCAAATTCACTCTATTAATATGACGTATATCCAAATAGAACTTACCAGACTTTTTAGGGCTATTTCTGTTCTTGTACTTCTTGGGATATATATTGATCTTGCTGTGTCCACAGCCCATCTCTAAGCACTGCACTTAAGTAAAGTAAATCACATCGTGAATGCGTCACAATTATAATCGCACCTCCGATCACACTTTCTAAAGACATATTGCCACATCATCACCGGTGTGATGATAACTTGAAGCGTCTCTGGTTTGGAGTCCACTCCCCACAAACTTGCAATGAAGCACCCATCTGAAACAAATAATGATCATTAGAAACACTACACATTTCTCAAACTAACATTACAGCACTAAAAAGCTATGTAGCATTACTGTACATTGTTTAGCTTTAGAATAAACATTTTCCTTTTGTTAAGAGGCATCTTGTACAATCTATATTAATTGAAATACCTACAGTTCTGCTTCTTCAGTTTTTGAAAATAAGTATGTTCAATGGTAATTTCTTTATATTGAACTATTTTCTCCCCTAATTATTTTACAGCAAAGTTGTAAATAAATTTATTGTGGATTGTAAAATTCTGCGTCTATTCATGTATTCCATTTGTAAATTTTGGTTGTGGGAAATCGGAGAAATTAAGGAAATTATGAATCAGCAATTAAAAATCACTCGTACCATGAAACTATTGAAAGAAAAAATAGATTTTTACGCAAATGCTAAAATTCTAAGTTATGTACTTTTCGGGTTTCCTGCACTAAAAAATAAAAATGAGGACACAAGTAGACGCAGAATTTTTCAAGCTACAAGAAACATGTTTACCATTTTGCTCTAAATTAATTAGGGAAGAAAATATTTCGATATAAATAAATTAACATTAAAATGCTTATGCGCAAACCCTTACGAATAAGCACAGAATTGGTTTATTTCATTTGAATTTGTGTTATTTGTCCATTTTAGAATTGTTTGTAATGGAGTAATTTTATTTGATTCATTATTATTTCATTAATTGTCAAAAGTCACGTAAAAAAGAAGAGGGAACTTCAAGCGCGCTCCTTCAAAGTTGGCGTTAATTAATCTAATTTTGATTTGCGCCTTATTTGTAAAAACCGGAGGAAGGAAATTTATTTTAAATACTGCAAGCAGGGGGCTGCGACCTAGCTGGTTCGAAATGGTTGGAAAAGAGTGTACGTCTCTTTACGCTATTTTGTTAGGGTAGTTCGCCCTATTACAATAATTGAAAACGTAATTTGTTTTTATAATAATTTTGTACAGACTGAAATTGTTTAAAAGTTGTCAGAAGTTTAAAGCGTTTTGTCCCTTTTACCGAAAAAGTTAATCAAGTTGAAGTAAGCAGTCTTAGTGTGTCTTGTGAGGCCTTCTGTTGAAAGATGCTCGCAAATATGAAAAAAGACCCGTCACCCCCCGGAAACGGAAATAATGCCTGAAATTCATTTTCTTACACCACATTGGATCGATAAGGGGGATAATCTGCATTTGCTGCTACGATTTAAACTTTGTGAGAGAGGTACACTGATTTAGATCAAATATAATATCATGACGAGTATCTGTCTACCAGAATTCAATGTTCCTTCCATTTGGATTGTATATCATTCATTGTGCAAAGAGAAAGGCGGGAGATATGGTAATTTAGCATCTTGACACAACAGGTTGCTTGCTATTGAAATCAAATTTGCATAAGATCTAATTTAGTAAACATTTTCAAGTTTATATTATGTACATTCCTATACGCCCTTCGTCTTTCGTCCATTGGTGCATTAATACTGGCACAATGTTTTCTATAACGTCTTGAGTGTTCGCACTAAGTTAATGCATTGAATAAAAACACTATTCAATGGTCAATGGAAATCGAATTTTAAATAGAGGTGAAAGGTTAACGTTGGATTGAGCAGTAAGCCAATAAAGTCGAGTTGAATATTTTCTCCATGCATTGACAATTCTTCCGGAATTGATGCTCCAAATACTGACAAGGAAAAGCAAATTGTTTGCATTATGTAAACTCAAATTTATAGTGGTGTGGTGATAACACCGCGGATTCTGTAACGCTATAAATTCCCATTTTGCAAATTATCAAGTGAGTTATGAAAACTTTCGTCCATTAAAGATTTTTCTCCGGTACACCTAACGATGTAGCATTAAGTAAGAAATACTGCTTCACAGCATGCCATGCTATCTAGTTTCTTTCATAAATTTTCAGGGGTAATTTAACCTTCCTCTGAAAAATTGTATCGCTGATTAAGTAATTGCGTGTCTCGTTTCCTTGGTTTACTGAAATAAATCCATTTTTTACACGTAGATTGGTGACTTGAACAGGTGTCCAAATAAAATGTTTATAAATACACAGAGCCGTTAACCTAATTCATTATTTCCTCTCTTGTCGTTTGTAATGTGGCCGACATGCGATCTTTCTGCACGAACAGTGATTTTAAATAGCAAGAAATCGAGCTTATTGGCTATTTATTTCGTTGTAAGGGTTGAAACAATTACCTAAAATTCTGGCGAATACGAATTAGGAACATTTTGAGCAAAGTATTCGAAATAGACCACAGCATGCACATGAAACATTTTTACGGTGGTTCACGAAGACCGTGTGTTGGGCATATTTTGGGCACCACTGAGAGCTTACCCAGCTCTAAGAACTCCTGCGTTAATTTAAAAAGTAGAAGCCAGGTTAAACGCGCTTGTTTAACGTTAACGAAAACTTTACTAATTTTTTACTGGCAGATCAACTTGTTCTTCTGCCTACTACACAATATCTTTTCGTTTCCAACAAGTATATTTTCGCCGATTTTTCCCCAGTTCTTTTTTAATAAAAAAAATTCATAACATTGTTAGAAATCCAAACAATTAAGCGCAGACGGATCGATTGGGTTTAGAGAAAAAGACCCAGAAAGTTTAAAGAAAAATCCAGAAAATAAGTAATCGGGGAAGTCGGATCCAATGGATAAATGTGGTATTCATCTTTGTGACGTACGCCATCGGATTAGCCCAATATACCCAATTTTTTTATAAAATTACATCGTCCCATTACTGCTTTATTATCTAAAAAATTAGAAACAAAATATTTCTCTCTAAGCAAATATGTTCATTCTTATGTATAAACTCTGCTTCTTATTATTATTCTTAAAAGTTCTTAACCAATTTTATCAATTTTTTCTCCAGTATTTGAGGATTCAATAATTTAACGCGCCGAAAAATGGAGCAGCCAAAGTTGAAAAAAGCAAAAGCTCAGAACGCAAAAATAATGATTTAGTAAAAATAAAAGAGAATGTTGAGTTGTGAAATACATATAAGAGACTTAACACATCAGGTAAGTTAAAAAAGATTGGACGGAGTACGAAACCAAATCACCCATTTCTTCCAAATAAATCGTGAACTGGAAACACTCCCCCCATCACCAAGGGCTCAGAAAAAAATGGCATGGTTTTATATAGATTCTTGATTCTTATTCGATTGTGTAAAAATATCAGCAATATATCTTTATCTGAAGATTGCGCACCTCTGGGTATGTTTAATATGAAAATTAGTGCTTGAAAGTGAAAAAAAATTCCAACTGTAATTTTGGATCTGAAAGGGAAAATTTGTCATAATTTCACAGATTTTGCCATATATACGCTTTATGTATGTCTTTTAAGGACCCTAATCTCCTATTTCCATTTTTTTTGCAAAATACAATTAAGTTTCATTCCATCCTTTTTAAAACTACAAAAGTTAGGTTAATAATGCTTTAATTTTAACATTCGATTACTTATATGTATTACACCGATTAGGGATGTGAAAATGATTGACACATTATACTATATGTTGAATGTGTACAAATAAAAGCTTAATAATATTTTTCCTAAAACATAGTTAAAACGGTTAAATACGTAGCCACCATCACACTACATAATGAAGCCAGCAGATTGTACCTACTGTTTTCTAAAACAGAATACCTTGTTTGGCGAAATTGAATGTAATGTAAATTTTGGACTGAACACCATTGAAGCATTAACGTTAATTAAAGGCGCTGGGGTGTGAATACTATGAAATCGATTATAAATTAACCAAGAAGCCCTTTAGGAAGATAAGGAAATTTATACAATAGGCACCTAATTAACACACTAGCTGGTAAAGGATAGAAAATCGATCTTCCTCAGAAAAAGATATCTCACTACGCGGTGAAATGAAAAACCCCTAATTATTCAGGGTTTAATTTAATTCTGTACGATCGTTTGATATTGTAACTTAAATTACAATTAACTTAACAATAAATTTATATGTCTTGAAATGGATTCATTTATAACCGTTAACTCACAATTTATAACATAACACGAGCGAATCGATGTTGGAACTAACTCGGAACACATTCGATTTTCTTATATAGCAGACAACAATCGTTCTAGAATGTTCTCCGAGTGATCCCGAACGCTTCCGAATGTTCTAAAACAAACACGTCATATTTCCCGGAAAGATTGCGTCACATGTGCCTTAGTTTCTCATCGCAGATGACTAATCTTTCATGGCGTCTCGATGTCTATTGGGATTTGAAGAATATTCGCTACAATACCTTCTCTATGGGGCATAATATTATTGCAACGCACATATGCTGTTACTCTGTTGGATCCAGGTATTTCCCCCGTTTCCCCCTACGTAAATATCAACCAAGTTGATACAATAAAATCGAAGAAATTAGCGCAAGTCATATCTTGACATCTCTGGCGTTTGATCATTTCCCCAACAAAATTATGTTCTATCAATGTCCAGTAACAAACGAAAACAGACGAATAGAAAAATGACGTTCCACTTTCGTGAATTGCGCTAAAAATAAACCGTTCCGTGCATTTACAATGTATATCATATTGTATGTTCACCAGATAACATTTTATCTGTGATGGTGTACTTGCGGAGTTTATCAGTAAAGTGGCGTTAATTGTGATAACGGCTTTTGTGTGGACGGCAAGCAGTCGTGCAAAATAAGGGGGCACCCGGGTTTGAACCGGGGACCTCTCGATCTGCAGTCGAATGCTCTACCACTGAGCTATACCCCCACTACGGGTATTTCGAAAGTAGGTAATGATTGTTGATGCTCGTTTCTAATTGCTACGATCAATTATGTAAAATTAATTAGAATTATTCAAAAATTAAAACTGTTGCAAAGGGAGGGAAAATAGCCTCCTATAATTTTGCTTTAAAAATATTAACAATTTCGGTGGCGAAACGAGCGTCAACATTCAAAGTAACCCCCGATCCTTGCATTTCCGTATTAATTCTTTCGTGCTTTCATTCTTGCACAC